ATACCAAAGCAAACTGGAGTTTTACCTATTCCAATCATCACAGTCTAACAGTATTTTAAGCAAAGGAATGAACATTTTAACCAATTCTGCTGCCCTATATTCCCATCCAATGCCTCTGAACAGGTCCCTGCTTAACTGGATATGAAGTTTATTACACATTTGTACATGCAAGTTTCAGGCTAAAATATTACCCTGTGCTCCTGGCACAAAGATTTTTGAGATAGAAGAAAAATCTGTTCTTTTCCTCCTACTTCTTCAATAATTCTGCTTTAGCTGCAGAGAGAGCTCCTTTGCTAACTTCATCATGTTGTAGTTATAGTACTGATTGATGCTCTTTTTCTGCACTGTTCTGCTTCTTTCAAATTTCAGAGAGTAGAACCACTGACAAGTATGGAAAGAAATATTCCCCTGTGTTCAGTGGTTCATTAGACCACAATCCCTTTTTCCAAGGGGAGGAAGCATTAACAAACAAAGTGAAGGAAGAGCACCTAAACAGGACTTCAGACTTCTCTGGATATCCCAAAGAACAGGTAGAGTACATGAAGGCCACACAGCTACTGCAGAAAATGGCAACAAGCTTAAGAGGCAGCAATTCTGATTTGGAAAGAGCTGCCAAACTTCTCCTTGCAGCACAGAACCTTCTAAAGGAAGATACAAAACAGTTCAACCATCATCACCCTCTCAGGTCAACCAGGTTTTGGGAGGTATGATACAATAGTTAGAAACTGTATCTACCTTTTTAGGTGAGAAGACTCCCAGTGTTCCTCCATCTTCCCGAATGGCAACTCCCATTTCTGCCAGCAATGCCTCTCTGAGGGAGAAAAGCAACATATATACCATATTTTAGGATTCTTAGGGAAAAGAAGGTCCAATGAAAGCTGTGTAATGAATAATTAGACTTTGAACAGCCTATCCAGGTCTGTCACCACCTTAGGGCAAGTTTGTAAACTTAAGTACAAGAGCTTCCAGACCTGTGGAGCAGCAGCTTTAACTGTAGGAAATACAGGGAAGAACAGGACTTTCAGCATTGCCCCTGCTGCTACACACCTGACACAAAGGTCAGCAGAACTATCCCTATTCTGCTGCTCCACTGCTTTTGAACAGAGTAATATCCTCCGTTTCCCACACTTTGCCATTTTCCAGACCACCCACATTAACAGCATTTCCAGTTCCTGACCTTTCCATCCTAATGGCCTCAGTTTTCCTCAGTTTCTCTTCCCATGTTTCATTCAGCTCTGCAATGATCTTCTCAGATTCCTGTGGGCCAACACCAGAAACTGTTTTATAATCCTGCCCAAAGTTCTTCACATAATACACAAAGCAACTGAAGTCTGTGCTCAGTTCTAGGCCTCAAATCAACTTTGTATATAAAATGTACTCTCAGCACTTCAAAACCCTTATTTGTTTCCCTTAATTTCTCCAAGGGTGACTAGCCCTGAAGGCAAGCCGAGAAGGAAAGATGACTTCATATCTAACCACAGTCAGACTTTATTCTGAACAACCTAAATTTGTTTCCCTTTTTGTTTCTAAATCTGATTTACAGACATTATTCAGTAAGTGGATGCCAAGAACTGCAGAGACCACACTGCAATCTCCATGGTGACAGCAGATTTCCAACGGGAGAGGGATCTGCAGTGTGTGTTCCAGCCCATTCCAACCCCTGTGGCAGTGTGGCTCATGGACAGACATGAGAATGAAGCAGAGACCCAACACAGCAGCTCTCCCCACTCCTCCACCCATGGAGCTTGGGGAAGGCTTTCATAAAAATCAAGAAATACTTCACTGTGGAGCACTTGTGCCCTGGTTCAGTTCCGTGCGGGATTGGGACAAGGCTGCTATTGTCTGCATCAAACATGCCTTTCTGTGCCTCACATTCTAATCCGTGGGGGCTGGGGCAAGACAACAGTGGCAGGATTATTCTGCCTCCTTTTTTCAGCTTGGGGGTAATTTGGCTTTCTGAAAGCTGAGTGCCTTTGCTGGCCAGACTTGGCCCACACGAGTGCTGACCAGGCCTCATGAAGTCCACACTTGTGATCAGATATTCCATCATTCCCACTGCAGCATCTTGTAAACAGGAATTGAGATTTCATTTATAATGGCAAAATTTAGGTTAGATATCAGGAAAAGGTTTTTCCCTATGAGGGTGGTGAGACCCTGGTTGCCGATGGAGCCTGTGGCTGTCCCAACCCTGGCAATGTTCATTCCAGGCTGGATAAAGCCTTGAGCAACCTGCTCTGGTGGGAGGTGTCCCTGCCCAGGGCAGAGGTTGGGACTGGATCATCTCTAAGCTCCATCCTAACCCTTAAATTCTATGATTCTATAATGCAGTTGTAGCTCCAGGCTACAGTTAAACCTAAATAATCCCACCAGGAAAGGCTGTGCATGGATCCACTTTCCAGCCCACCACAATTAAGAGCCTTTTTAATGTGTTTCCAACAATCTCCTGCAGAAACAAGAGGTATCCATGAAGGAAAGTTCTCCCAGGTTCACTGTTATTTACCTTCAAACGTTCAATGGCCTCTTCTCCTCCAGGTGTTGACATGATTCTTTCCTGTATACTGGACACAGATGTTAAGCCCACCTGACTACTGAGAGAGCAGGAGGATGGAGATGCAGTGAGGGACCCCATGGAGGCTGTGGAAAAATTGCCAGGACGTTGATTCTCGGTGGCTAGCAAGTATCTATGTTTATTGTTCTGAAAATCTTTCAGATCTGGGAGAGAGACACACAGACAGAGGGAAGGCAGGAAGGTGGGAAAGAGGAAAAGAGGAAGAGGGAGGGAAGAGGAAAAAGGAAAGGAAGGAAATACCAGTGTAAGAGGAAAGCATTTAAGCAGCTACAAGACAAGTTTTGTCATTTTTAGATGGCAGTTCTGAAACAAGTCTTTTTCTACCAGTAACCATAACATAACTCAGCTCAGACCCTGAGGATCACTAGGAAGGGAAAAAAGCCTGAAAAAAAATAAACTACATACTTGACAAAAAGAAACCATCCTGCTCCTAACTGAACACTAAGCTGAGCACTGTAGAGCTCAGAGCAGGACTAGGTCCAGATCCTCATGAGACCAGTGACATTTTGGGCTGAAGTCTGAAGAGACACCAACTCTTCAAACTCAAAACATTCTCTTCCATTCTTCATATAAAATGGTGATTCAGTAAATCTTTATCACAGCAGTGGTTCTGCTACTGAACCACCCAGAGCACAAGGACAAAGAACTTCCCCTCAAAGTCTCACCAGAGAGGATGTGAATCACCTGTCAGTCCACGACAGGGAGAAGAGAACACAAGCTCACAATAACATCATTATGTTACTTCTTGGCCTTCCTCATCTTGAAAATGGAAATCTAACATATCTGATCAGGGAAATATCTGATAAGGCTCTTAGACTTCAGGAGGTGCTTTAAAGCTTTTTGGTCTAGTTTAAGTAAAAAAAGCCTTAAAAAAAATAAATTTAATAAGGCAGCTTTAGTAGCCTGAAAACTTGGAGGCCTGAAAGATTCCTCCTTGGAAGACAGAGAACAAGGGAAAGCTGCAGGAATGATTTAAGAAAAAATATCCAGCAGAAATTTATTTTAATCTGACTTAACTTCTTGGATATGTCTGTAAAGTATATCCTCAGAATAATCACTCAGCAAAAGAAAACTCTTCTCACATGAAAATATCAGGCAACTGAATAGCTCAGTTTTAATAATTTTCACAGCTTTCAATTCTATTTCAAAGACAAATCCTTTAAAATCAGTAACTTTGGGAAAGAAACAGGTCAAACCAGACCTTGAAAGCTATAAACAAGGGCATCACATTTGCAGAAATGAGATGCTCACCCAGACATTGCATAAATTTCCCTGTCCTCCTACATCTCCTCTACTCTGCTCGGGAACAATTCTGCCATTGTCAGCCTTGTGCCCTAGTTCACTCCACACTCAACCTGCTGTTTCAGCCTCACGGAGCTGCTGATTGCACCAAGTCAGTTTGAAAACCACCATCTGCAAATCCAGGAGGCAGGGTGGGAGCTGAGCAGGAGAAAAGCAGGTTAAGGGAAGGGAATGCTGCCGGGATGAGGGAAGCAGGCAGGACAGCAGGGAGGATGAAGGCTCAGAAGGCCATGCACTCCTGAAGAGAAAGCAAGTGGCACTTGCAGTAGCTCCCACAGTGGCTGTGACCACGGAGGAACAAACCCTCACACCATGCACACTGCTCCTGGGGCTGCAGCTCTCACACCATGACATGTGCACACGCCAGAAGCAGCACCAGGATGTCAGACAGGCCAGGATGAGTCTTTACACCAGCAGTTAGCTTGAATCGTAGGAAATTTCAGACAGATCTCTTTCAGCTGATACTGAGTGAGGGTGAAGAAGACTGACTGAAAGAGTTTACAAAGTCTGTCAACCCAAAATTTACAGGGAATGTATTTCCCCTGCAATGGCCTAACATGTATTTCCCTTCATAGAAGCAAATACAAACAGAAATAAATGTCCTTTGTTGACTGGTTTTAACCCTGTTAAGCTCATGACCTGCAACCAAGTACTTGACTTCAAATAAGAGACTTCATCAGGGTGGGATGTCCAACCCTCTTTTTTTTTTTTTTTGAAGAGACAATACAAAATAAATAAATCTAAGTGTCCAGGAGGAAACATTTCATCAACAGACACATCTAAAACAAATCCCTAGGTGGAATAGAGCTGTTAAAATGCCAGGAAGGTAGTGAGCAGGAACTCTTCAACTGAACAACTAGGAAAAGGTTGGAAAAATAAGATTTTCTAGTTCAAATCTAAACTGTTCACTGTAGTAACAACAGAGTCAAGAACTACCACTCTCCCTTCTATGTTCTGCCAGAGAGAAAGCAACGAACATGTTGCATGTTAAGCTTTGTAGTTTTCCCTGACCGTGGGCTCGGTCTAAGAAGTGCTGGTGAAGCTGGTTTTCATGGAACTGCCCTGCATTCCAGTGAGGGTTCTGTCTGGGATTTCCCTGTGAGAAATGCTGGCATGCAAAGCTCTGTTAAAAGCTGACCCAGAGAAAGCAGGTTAAAAAGAGAACCACACAATACACACATTTGCCTCCACTTCCAGAGTATTCATCTCCCATTGGATCAACTGAAAGGAAGCAGGAGGGAAAATACAAGAAGGATCAAAATTGAAGGTTCACTAGCGACACAGGAAGGGAAGAGAATTCTACTTGGTATTTAAAGAAACAAAACCCAATTTTCAGTAAGAACCACAGGATTTTTTTCAGTTTGGATTTAGAACCAAAACCCACAGACTGTACCAAGCATGAAAACACTTGTATTTCATTGTCTTCTGGCCCCATTCTCTTGAAAACAAGCAAACAAAGAGGTAAATACATGTTACACATCCTTAAGCAGTCTGTGACAAATGAGGACTTCTGCTTCACAGGCAAAAAGCTCTGACAAATCAGAAACTGGTGCAACATTCTTGCTTTTAAAGTCACAGAATCTCTTAATCCACTGGAACACATTTGGTGTTTTTACAGGCATTTCCTTCAGTAGGAATTAAATCACTGTTCATATTAGAGAAGAATGCAGCAGCTAAAATGTCAGTTCATTTGCCTTGTTTGGAATGAGGACAAGGAAACTGGGCACAAGTGTGTTCTGGTGCTTTAAGAGGTTGCTGGCAAAGCAAATCAGTCCAGCACTGCTCTGCCAACCTAACTCTGAATCTCCCCAAAGGGTTCATTAGCTATTCACAAGCAGCTGTTTCATAGGCAGCTATTTCGAGATGACAAATGATTTGTCACTCAGGACATTGTCTGACATTAGCCACTGTTTTCTTCTCTGAGCAAGGATGGCTCTGAAGCCAGGTAGCAACTAATAACCTTAATCCTTCAAGGAGGAATAAAAGATGCTTTTTTTCCTCAGTATGAAATCGAGTTTCTCTACCTCAATTCCTTTTGTTGGCAGCCAGACAAAAACACTCTCCATAACCCACCAGGACAACTCCTGAATGGGTAAGTTCTATTACACAAAAGCATTTCTACACTAATAGGAAATTCAAACTCCATGTTTTCCCTGTCACCTCCACACACAATGCTGGGATAGTTGTTTAAACACAGTGGAGGCTGCCAGTTCTAAAATCATCTTCAAAACTTAAATATCAGCACCTATATTTAACCCCTGGGTTGCAAATCCCTTTCTCTCACAGGCCCTGCTCTCCCTCCTGTCGGAGAGGCCAAGCACAGGATGGTGAGGTCTGTTTAATCCACTTACTGTCAATAATATCTCCCAGGCCTTGAGCACGCAGGAGATCCTTAAGCCTTGTCACCTCCTCCTTCAGCTCACGCACCAGTTTGGCATTGGGATCCTCATTGATAACTGCATTGCACTTGATCTGCTTCGCACGGTCAGCATACCTGGGACCAGGCAAAACAACAAAACCTTGCAGCAAACACCTCAGTGCTCATGTGCCACACAGGAAAGCAGCAATATAGACCTTCAGCTCTCCAGAAGAGTCCCTGGATTATGTTCAGTCATGCACTTGAATTCAGGCTTAAGCCAGGGTATTGCAGCAAAACAAGTTCTGTTCAGAATGGATTAAAAATATGTAAACCAGACAACTATTTGTTTCCTTTATTCAGTGCTTTGAAGTCTCAGCTTGATCAATATGCTCAAATTTAGGGGCCACACTGGTAAAACACACACCAACATGAGAAGATGAGTTTGATTTTTCAAGTTAAGCGTAGATAATAAACCCTTGGCTCCATATTCACATACAATTGATTGGTTTTCCTCTTTAGTGTCATTGGTTTCTTCCCAATATAGAGTATTCTTCCCCACAAATGATCTCAAAGTATAATAACCCAAAGGTTTGAAGGACAAAATATGGTCATTAGAGCTAACAGTTACCCACATGCATCTCAGAGAAAAAGAAAATACCTTAAAGTGCTCAAAGTTTCATCATAGTTTATGTCTGCTGGACTGAGAGCAGCAACCATTGCAGTTCTGGAGTTACCACCTGAAATGAATAGGTAAGATTTTAGATGAAACTGCAGTGCACAATCTAGGCACTAATTACTCCTAAATATCAGTATTTGCAGCAAATTATACATTTCAACTATACTCTGCATTACTACAAAACACACAAAAACCATAGGAAAGAGTTGCAACACTAACACGAGGTGAACTACGTGACTCACATTTGACTATTAAAGATATTTAACCTCATGCTTGATACAAATTTAAGCGAGTTAAAAGGAGTCAGGAAATTCAGGGAGACTTTGTTTCCATGTTGGCACAGCCACATCAGCCATACCTAGATTTTCTCGCAGAAGCCAAGTCAGTACAGAATCCCTGTAGGGTATGAAGTCTGTCTTCTTCTTTTTTTTACTCTGCAAAGAAATAATACAACATGAAAAAGAGATACTAAATAGAAAAATGACGTGCAAGACATAAAACTCATAGTATGGGTAAAAAAATAGCCCAATAAGAGGATATACGTGTGATCTAAACACGTGGGGCCCATCCCAGGTTGTACAAGTGACGGCTGAGTTTGATATGAGATAATCTGCAACATCTTCAGACACCTAAGCAGCTCATGACAAGCAGTTCACAGAATTCCCTTGATCCACTACCTTCAGAAAGGTTTTTCTGGGTAGGAATATCTTCCTGACATTTAAATTCTGTGTTCTAACACCATTCCAAGAAAATTTAAGCAGCAAACCTCATGCTCAGGCAAAAGAACAACATCTACTACATCTCAGACCATCATACCTTGCTGGTGCAGTTATCCTAAGTCGACAGCAATAAAGAGAGAGGAAGAAGATACAGGATGAGCTTCTTAGAGCTTCATACATTACTTCCATGTAAGGAGAGTACTTTGTTTACTTAAGAAGTCAAATGAATGAGAATCATATCCACAAAAAATTTCTACCAGCCTTCATGGCACTGACAGGAGAGGATCAACACTTTCATCTACCCAAACACACACAGCTAACTGGGTGAGAAGGAGAGGCCAAGACCAGTGAATGGTTCTGCTGCACTCCATGTCTCAGCTTCACCAGCTATGGAAGGGCTGATGCAGAGAAAATGATGTACTCACCACTTCAGCCAATGCTGAAATAACTTTGCCCAGAGTTGTGAGAGACTTGTTTATATTTGCTCCTTCCTGAGGAAACAGAAGACAACAATATCCAGTAATTAAAACTGTTCACCCATCAATCTGTGTAGTCTTCAGTTTTGTAACTATATTTTCCACAACTGTAATAGCACAGAATCACAGAACAGTTGGGGTTGGAAGGGACCTCTGCCAAGGCCTAGGGCAGGTTACACAGGAACCAGGTGGGTTTGGAATGTCTCCAGAGAGGATTCCACATCCTCCCTGGGCACCTGTTCCAGTGCTCCCTCACCCTCAGAAGTTCTTCCTCACATTGAGGTAGAACTTCTTATGTTTTAGTTTATGGCCACTACTCCTTGTCCTGGAGTAATGGCCATGAACTAAATGGACAAATCATTTTCCCTAAAGACTCCACATGATACTTGTGCACCCACTGCCCATTCCTTCCCCATCCACCAGTGCCTCAGTACCTTTAACCTGGTTCCTTTGGCCCCAGTCGAATCAGCTCTCTCACTCCCAGCCAGATCCACCAGGCTGATCTTGCTGACCTGAAGAGAGAAAGCACAGGAACAGGGAGAATTAGTTCTTGGGGGATTAGAGTAAGAACAAAACTTCAGAGGTTTCTATGGCATGAGAAAACTGTCTGAAAAATCTCTGTAGTGTGCTTAAGGCTACAGCCACACAAGGACTTCACAAGCAATTAGCCTGATGCTGTTATCTTAGGGATAAGAAGTGTCTGGGATTATGCTCTAAGTGTCACTACACCTAAAGAGAGAATGAGGTGTCACATGAACAGAGCAGAAGTCAAAGGAAATGAAGCATTACTGGTACAGACAACTCGAGATCCTCAAAGGGAGAGAAACTGCTTTGTCCTGACCCTAGTGACACCACCAATAAAGCTCTGGCTGCAGCTTCAGTCAGACAGGTCAGTTACTGGGAATTTTACAGGGTTTTATCATCTGGGGGGAGTTTCTTCAATAAATAAGTTTTTTTCAGATCTGCCCACAGTAATCAGCTCAGAAACATGAACCTTACCTGTATCTCAGCTTTTTGCATGCAGAACCTCTATTGCAAAGGCATGAAAGCCAAAAACTGTCCCATGCTAAACAATGTGTCTCCTCTTAACATGCTAATTTCCAGGAAGTGCCTAAATTTCACTCATCCCAATTTCTGTGCCCAACGAAAAGAACTAACAAGGCAAATATTTTGCAATGACAAGCAAAACCATACAAAGTTCTGGAACAAGACTAGGGAAAATTAACTTCTTGTATTTCATATATCCCTTTCCAGAGAACCTAGTCCTTAAGGCCACATTATTCCCATATCTATATACTCTCCTCCTGCACACAGTCCCCACTTAGCTGCTCTTAGAATTACAACCAAACAAAATCCCCTATGAGACAAAAAGGCTGTGTCAAGGCACACAGCAAGTTCACCCTTAAAAACAAAACATCAGGAGAAAAACAACTCATTTTCTCCATAAGTCCCTACAGGGAAGATTAGTGAAGAACAATCAGAGAGGCTCTTATCTGTGCCACTTATCTGTAACACACCTTCTCTGTGGAAAGATCAGTTTCTGTGTCATGTTTCTTCTGAGTGAAGACAATTGTAAACACGGCATGGGAGCGGCTGCTGGTTTCATTCATGTTGGTAGCTGCCACAGTCCTAAAACGTCAATAGACAGAGCATGTTTAGAACAGCACAACTACCTGCAGGGGCTCAGTGCAGCCTCAGAGTGAGACCAAGAGGCTGCACAGGTGATTTCTGCCCTGTAAGCATAAGTATGACCAAGTCACACCTAATTCCACTAACAACCCTTGGATTTTTTACTCCTGAATGACTCCCATCTTAATCACAGTTTAAACAGAGCTTCCAAAATCTGTGTACTCAATAATCTGCCTCACGAGCAAACACCCAAGATGATGTGAGCAGCATTTATGTGAGTCTTTCCCACACATTGTTACACGGAGCCAACAGCTGACATGGAAACAACTCCTAATGAACCAGAACCTAAGGCTGGAATGCTAACTTTAGCCCTGACCACTTGAATGAAAGGAAGAGGAGACTGCTCACATGTTTATTTATACCAAGATAGTGATACAGTGCACAGCAAAGTCAAAACCAAATGCCAGAGTAATTTAGACACTTCACCTCATGTCATTACAGCCTTTTTAAATGTCCACACAGCCACTTGCAGCACTTTGACCAGACAAATCCATTTCAGCCATTCAATAGCATCGATCAGGGCACGTTTCAATACTGCTCCTCGTTTCCAGGAGCTTTTCCTGAAGTGCCAGTGCATCACAGTGATAAAAGCACACAACATGCTGCCACCACTGACCTGGCTTTGTTCCCAGCATCCATGAGGTCTGCAATGTCAGTATAGGATGTGACTGCTAACTTGGACAGATCCTCCACGTAAGGGCCAAGGAGAGGATGTTCTCTCACCCGCAAATTCCCTTTGTTCTTCGGGTTCAGCAAGTCTCTGACCCTCTCACAGTAAATCTCCATGTAACTCACCTGAAAACAGGAATTTGCATGGACAATTTAGTGGTTTTTTAAGGCTTCCTAAGTAGCATTTCAGAGTGCCAGTGGCAGACGTTCCCCCAGTCCACCCCAGGAAAGCTGTAGGTGGTGTTGCAGTTTATTCATCAGCTTAGACAACAGCAGAGGGAAGAAGTCACTGGTCTCATGCATCAGATCTCCAAAACAAGCTGCTGACCTTGCATGCATGGATAGATCCCTCAATCATCCTCAAAAACCATCGGTGTGTAATGAGAAACTATACACTGGAGTTCACAATCATCCTGACAGCTTCAATATGACACAGCAACAAAACTAACTTTCTCAAGTGGCAAAAAAGACAGATGGCAAAAGGAGATTGCTTCCAGGGAATCTCTTAGGAGCCTCCAAAGCAAACTTAAACCAGGGAAAATATTAATCTATAGTATTTGACAACAAACACGTAGTCTCTCCCATGCAGCAGTCAAAAAAACCCAACACCTGTAAATGCATCTTTATGTTTCTCAGAACTGCTATACAGGTAAAGGTACAGTAGTTTTCTGGTGGGGGTGAAAAGAGTCACACAAAGGTTTTATTTATATTTGGCTCAAAAATGAAACAGGGAAAGACAAACCTGAGAGAAAAAGATTCATTTATATTTGGCTCAAAAATGAAACAGAGAAAGACAAACCTGAGAGGAAAAAGATTTTAACAAATCCATCAAAAATCAGCACCTTAATGCAACATCAATAACCAGCACTTAAGCTCAGTTTGATGTCCAGCACACAGGTATTTGAGCCCTCAGCACACTCACCTCTACAGAATATGACATTTCTTCATTGCTGTTGTCATTGATCTTCTCAAACAGCTCTTCACACAGCTGAGAAGAGATTAAAACAGAGTCAGAAATGAGTCTTTGCTGAGGAGTAACCATGACACATCACTGAAATGGCTTTACAATGAGGGCAGGGGAAGAAAGAGAACCTAATGCATCAACCACACAGAGCTTCACTGGGATGATAATTAATCTCAATTCTACATCACTATCCACCTTATTTTATGCAGTATCCTGACAACTGTTCTATGTTTAATCAATATTATTGCTGTGCACTATAAAATCACAAGTCAGATGTAGTTCCCTGTTAACTGGCATTGCAATAGAACCAGCAAATGTGTGTCTGAAGATGTCACAAAACCCAAATCCCCTTTCTGGGCTCTGTCCTACCTGGGGAATGATGCCTGCTTGGCTCTCCTCCTGCTTGCCCATCATGGTGTAGGATTTCCCAGCTCCAGTCTGTCCATAGGCAAAGATGCACACGTTGTAGCCCTCAAAGGCATGGAGCAACATCTCCTTCCCAATGTCATTGTACACACGGCTCTGAGAGGCAAAGCAGGGATCTTCAGGCTGGAAAGACATGAAAACAACATCATTACAGACTAATCCTATCATTCAAGGCAGATTTTCAAAACCACTGGATTTCTTCTACTTCTGTCTCATGAGTCAATCCCTTAGGAAGAGGTATATTACCCATTTTTACACACAGCTTTGTCCCAGAACAAGGGGGAGAAGAACAACAATGACAATGTTCACTGCATTGTTTGTCAGTGTATCTTGCTCTCAATCTGGCATTCTCACACTTCCTGAAAGGTTGGATTTAACATCACCTGCTCCTGAAATCAGGACAGATTTAGCTGTGCTAACACTGGGATCGAGATTTTATCAGATCACTTCGGTTCCTTGATGCTGCTTATCTGCTGGTTTTCAGGAACTGTGTTAATGATATTCCTCTGACTAGTCTGTGATCCCCTTGCCTGGCTGCTCTGAAGGATTCAGTGAGAGAGGTGCACAAATCCAAGTTTTCTATGATAAAAACAATCTTGTTGGCCCCAAATTCGCTCAGAAATATTAAATCTTGTTTGCACCATCCGAGTTACTAAAATTAATCCCAGATAAATGCATTATCCATTCTTTCTGTATCTTTTAGCAAACAAGGCAGGGGAGGAGTAGGTGGCTGAACAACACAGTTGTGCTGGAGAACAATTGCTGGAAGTCAGCAGGAGCTCAGCAGTGATCCACAGGAGGGTGGGGCAGAGGGGCTGGAGGAGAACTTATTGCTTTTGCAGCTCTTGGGAACAGGGATCACTACACAGTCTTTGCCAGATAAGCCAAGGGAACCCAGAGCTTGTCTCTCCTTGAACTGTAAGAATCTGCCACTTGTCTAAGAGGAAAATTGAATTAACTGTGGCTCACACACAACCTTAAAGTATTCAGAACAGAACATTGTTGGAGAGGATTTTCAGTGATCTTTCAAGTATTTACAACTAGTTATCAAACTTAGGTTTCTGCTCTCACTCCAACAGGGAAAGACAACATAGAATGACAAGCTCTGCCCTGAATGTGGGTGAGAGAGTGCAGAAACACCTGACAGGGCAGGTGGAATCAGAGGAGAAGACACACCAAACCATCAGCAACAAACAGGTTTTCTTGTGGAACAACTTACCGACGTGTGGGACCAATAAGAATAGTCAAAACTGAAGGACTTTGGTGCTTCCTTAGGATTCTTTGGGTTGATAATACCTACGAGAAATAGAATTCAAACTCTTAGCTAATTTGACATTTAGGAGCATAATTAATGAGCTTGCTGACCACAATCTCTGAATCTGAGTACTCAGAGCTGCCACACTGAACAGGACTAAGAAGGCTGAAGGAACAGACTCACAGCTTCCCTACAGTGTATTTCTGCAGTCCTTATCTCAAAGAAGTCCAGAAAAAAATTCCCAGGAGGACTATACTGCTGCTAAACAAAACTCTGTGTATTCCCCACAACTAATTAAAAGTTTTTCCAAACACCTTTAGCTTGGTGGGTTTAGTGTTTTGGGTTTTTTTTCCCTTTTGCCAGCGACAAACCAGTTTCCTATAACCTCTGCCCAGGGGAAGCAATACACAATGGACCCAGCTGCAATTTTAATGGCAAACAGAATGTCTGTAGGTTCTGTATTCCAACTGATAAGCACAGCAGAAGTGAATCTCTACTTGTTTCTTTTTGGTACTACAGTGCTGGAAATACTTAACTCTATTATTTTCAGCAGCTGTTTTCAATACCATCTGTGTAAGTGAGGACTGGAAAAAGGCAGAGTCCTGAGGGCATCGAAATTAGATAAACCACCTCAGATTTACACATACCCATCTGCACCTAAAGCAGCAAATTGCCTCTGGGAGCGAGACATTAATTATGACATGTGCAAACGAAGTCTACAAAGAAAGAAGCCACACAAAGTTGTCAGCAGTCTTCCTGGGGATCATTTTCATCCTGATACCAATCACCCTAATCAGAAGCTGCTTCTTTTTCACATATTCATTATGATTTGGGAGATGAGGGCTCCTCCCTTTCCCCCTGGGATAAAGAATTATATCACTCACATTTCTTATCACTTCAAACACAAACTTACCGTCTCACTGCACTGAAACCTCTGCAAATGTGGTTACAGGATCCCCATTAAAATCAAATCACTCCTGCAGCAGATGCTGTGCCCCTGAGCAGGGCTCTTGGCCAAAATTACAGTGTGGAGAAAAGATCACGGTCTGGATTGCAAATAGCAACAGTTGCTACTCTGCTCCTCGTGGCCAACTCGGTTTCACTTGGATGCACCTTGTGCTGACATTCTTGCCTTAAAAAAGCTGACAGACATGCAAAGCCAATGACTAATATGCACCAGCACAGCATCAAATTGCAAAAATGCTTGTGGTTTTGGATAGCAACGTGGGCATCAACACAGAACACACTGTAACCTAAGCAATCACATATGGTTTTAGCTTCCCTTTGCTAGCTGTGCCCAACAGCAGAACAGCCACAGCTCTCACAATTCCACCAGTGCTGAAGAGGACAAAAAACACACCCCAGGAGACAACTCCCTGCCCCAAACTTAAACCAGTTCTCTCCTTGCAATGCATTCCAGACTGCTGCAGTCCAACACCTCATTCCTCATTTAATCATTTAACACCAAAGCTCTGAAGGGCAGGCAGGAGGTAATGCCTTCTACCTGGAAATTCCTACCCAAAGAATATTTAATCATTTAACACCAAAGCTCTGACGGGCAGGCAGGAGGTAATGCCTTTTACCTGGAAATTCCTACCCAAAGAAAACAGGACAAATAAAAAACCATCTCCACATTACTATCTGAAAAGGCACTCAGGCTTGACATTACAGCTTCACCCTACTTGCTTCCAGCTTAAATTTGATCCCTCACATTAGTGAAGAGTGGAGTTCAGGCTCTGGGATTTATGCAAGTCTCTGCCCTGTTGGGTTTTTTTCAACCATAATAAGATTCTTATTCTTTTCTTGGGGTTTCCTCAGCTCTTCACACTAAATTCCACATCCAGCTGACTATTTAGGATGCCTATTTTTGCAAAGCTTATCTTGAGCAGTGTATCAGGAAAGGGAGTCTAACGTGCAGAAAGCAGCTCTGTCAGGGTTTGGGAATGCAGC